TTGAAAACAAACAGTGACAACATTAAACATATTAGTTGTTTTAAAACCATTTGCCTGTGTTATTGTTACCTTGATTTAGCTAGTAAACTGGTAACTAGTTGCTAAAACACAAAATTGGACTGGTGTAATGGTTACCCTTTTCAGATATATTATCATGCAGGTAGAAAACGCTCAAATATTTAAGAAGCTTCAGCTTCCTGGTATACACAGAGAAGAAAGTAAACTCATTTCAAATAGCATTCCAGGCATTATCTGTCACTTTTCATCTTTTCATTCTGTGTGGTGGGTTTTTTTAATACTCCAGCATGTCATTTGACCTTGAATAAAACACTTAACAGCACATGGTAATATTGGTTAGCATTTTCATATCTATGAATTTACAGAATACATTATAGTTATTGATAAATGGTGCAACTTTTTGTGTTTACAGTAACATTGATTTCTAATCAAACTACACGATGCAAAAATCTACATCAAACACAGGTATATTACTGCTTATGTCTAGGCACAAATGCCATTTGATGACATTTAAATTCTTTAATTAGTGTTGATTTTCTGTAAATTCAAGTAGTGTTCTCTTGTGGTTAATATTTGTCATCTTTGATTGACCAAACAGTCATGAAATAACCTTCTCTTGAAAATGAACATAGCACTTTTCTTTATTTAAAAATCTATTAAACCCACAGAACTGTGGGTAACATACTGCCTTCAATCCATGCGCATATCTGTGGCATCATATGGCCCCCTATTACAAACATGAACCAATACTCCTGCATCCAGCATTCCTGAACACCAACAAAAAGTAAATTTCATACATATATGTGTTTTGTAGTATTTCTAGGGATACACCTCAATGATAGCGTAGCTACAGCATTTACTATTGCTTCTATTCTTGCTTTTTGTTTGTTAAATTTGATGGAGTCAGTAGCATCCACCTGAGAATCTGTCACTTTTAATTTAATTTGTCAAAGAATGACAAACACATAGTGTACATATGCAGACTAATGTGCAGAAAACTGTATTTTCATTATGCCCAATGTTCATAAAACCTTAATGTACTAACTATTTTGAATTAAACAATTTTGTTTAATATTGTTAAACTTAGTTCTGTGGCTGCTATTGTGATGCATGGGGAAAAAAGTGGCACATACTGAGTGTGTGATAATCAGATTACATGTATGTGGTTATCATATTACATATATGTGATTTTGTTCACTCTCTGAGAGTGAAGATCTCTTTAATGCTGACTTCTTAAAAAAGTGAACACCTATGAGCCTCATTTTTCCGAGTTACTGAACACCCACAGCTCTTAACAGAAGTTGTGAGTGCCCAGCACTTCTGAAAATCAAGTCCTATATCTGTATTTCTGCATTGTAAATAATTAAACAAACAGTTTTGCTAAATCAGAAGCTGATCTGAAGTCTTGGTTAATATTTGAATTAGATTCCTTACGTCAGATGCTTTTATATGTCATCTGTTATACTCAGGTATATTAAATTATATTTTATATATTTACAAACTAGGAAAAATGTTTTTAAAATTAATTTGCTAACCACAAAGCACAATTGTACTGTGCAAAAGATGCATGTTGGAAATTGAAAACCTCTTGAATTATTAAAATTACCAAAACCAAATTAACACATTTTCTCCTTTTGATTAGAATCTATGTGTTCATTTGTATAAACCATCCATGCAAATAACTTAACATTTTTCATTTAATTCTGTTTAAATATTTTCAGCAGCACAGATTGCAAAATCCCAAGAGTTTAGGTGTGCTATTTAGACTCAATTTAAGCCATATCTAAACATTCTAAAGTTATATTCTATTAAAAGGAAGGTAAACTAATATATCTTATTGAGCATTTTGAAATATTTAAATGTTTATTAGTGTCCAAAACTGTAATATTATAATAAAGAAACAGCTGGTAAGCAAGCTTGATAACCTGATAATTTCATTTGAATAATATATATTTTTAAAACTCTTTTCAAAGTAATATTTTTTTAGTGCTAATCATATTTTTCCCCACAGTAACTTATCTACAGAATACTAATAAGTCACACTCCTGAACTGTAGTCTATACAGCAACTTTTCTAGATTTTTCTGTATGAGGGGAAAAACTGTTTTTCTAAATTTCCTATTTTACAGCTGTTATAATCTAAATATGGTTTTTGGACCATAAAAAAAGAGGTAGGGCATTAGCAAAGACTAGGTTTGGCTTATAGGGAAATCTTTCCAGTTCCCTTTTTGCATGTATGGTAATACTGTAGCCTCACCAGTTATTCTTGCCACATTTAAGGTCAGGTAAAATTTTTCTTTCTCCACACTCTCTTTTTTTTCCTTATTAAAAATAGATGTTATGTTTAAGCTCTGAGAGCTCAAAAATAGTTTATTATAGACATCAGAACTGGAAAAGGCCTATAAATCGTTTTTTCTGCCCACTTGTTGATTCTGGATGGATCCCCACGGTATATTCTTGAGCAATCTGTCTAGCCTTATTTTTAAATGAATCAACTGATAGAGCTCCCCCAATTTCCTTAGAACTAGTATGTAGAGGAGTAGGCCTCAATGTTAAGTTATTGCTCATCTGAAATACAGGGTTCATTTCTGGGTACCTCAATGCCAAGCTACTGACAATTTCAAGGGGGCTTGAGAAGACCACTCAACATGCTCGGGGGATGAAGAAATTGAATTGTGAGGAAAAATTAAAATAAATGTAGCTTGGCACAGCAGTAACTAAAGAGCTGGGGCCAGATGACATAAACTTCCCATTTGAAGGTCATAAACACTAAGGAAAATGGAAATGAATAGAATGGTGCAAAAGGATATAAGAGAATTAAGGAAATTAAGAAAGGGAGGCTTGACTGTGAGCTTTACTAGGCTGTGGAATGCTCTCCCCAGATAAATGTTGGTAGCCCTATTGCTAGGAACTTTTAAAGAACAGAAAGTACAGAGCATTAGAAAATGCACTGTAGGGAAAAAATATTAATATTGGCAGGGGGCGGGTCTAAATGTCCTAGTTCTTTGCATTTCTAATTTCTATTATTTGTTTTAGATTCCTACTATTTTCCTTCTATTTAATGCTTTTCTAAACTTAGTCCTAGCTTATCTATCAGACAGTAGGGTTTGTTCTTCAAATGGTGAACTGTTATAAATATAAAATTAAAAAAAATAAAGGGTCTAAAAGCTTTTAAATAAACCTAGGATGTCTAGTCATGCTCATGCAGAATGAAGAGGTTAACTTTCCTGTTTGTGCCCTTTTTTACAGCTGTGTGAGGAAAGACTGGAGTGTCATCTCTAATTTAGAATTTTATTTGTTTTATAGTTTTTATTGCTAGCTTTAAAAGTTGTTTTACTGGATTATTAGGATTTCTTGGCAGGGTTTATGCTGTCAGTTTTGTTAATGAAATCGGAAGTTACAGATGGAAAAGAGCTATTCAGGCATATAGTGTATTTCCCTTGCCAGTATGTACTCTCCAGTGACTTAATCTTCTCCCTAAATAAGGTTGGTGAGATGCATTGAACCGTAAAGTACTCAGTACCAGACACTACCCAATTAAAAGAACATCACTGATTACTTTATTGTAGTTTTTATTGTTCTTTGTTTGCAACACGTTTTTAAAGACTCTGTTTAAATTTTAAAAACAACTAATATTTGTCCCTTCTGTTAAGCTTTGTCTTTACTTGCATGTATGTTCACCAGAATGAATCACAGTATTGTTCTCTTCTAGTCTTTAAATCAACTGCTATTGGAGCCAGAAGGACACTGGAAAAGTGGTGGAATTCTTTCTAAAATGTCTTAATAGTGGAATAAGCATTGAGGAAATGCTTTAAATATCAACTCAGGCTTCCAAAAGGTATCTTGACCCACCCCGTATTTGAGTGCACGCAATTTTGCAAGCAGTCATTTACACAACTGATTTTTCGTGCCCTACCATTTGTGTGCACAAATGAGATATTTATCACATGCAGAACAGACATGCGCTTGATGTATGCAAGAAATTGTGTTTGCATGTGTAAATTTGATTATTTGCTTGCACAAGTGATAGTGTTCATATATAGATCACATTTTGCAAATTTGGCCGATAAAGGATAATGGCAATAACTATGTGAGCAGTAAGTAGCATAAGTTTACATAAATAAATCAATGCAAACTCGATACACTGATTCCAGTTTGGGACAGAATTAAATTAGTAGATGTGAATTCAGTAAAATATTTCATCACTGCTCATGTAAATCTTACAAAATTCAGGCTCTGGTAGATGAGGGAAAAGGTACCTGGAACATAAACAGTAGGAAAAGTGGAAGAAGGGCAAAGTGTGCCTCCCACTCCTTCATCCAAGCCATGGATGGGGGAAAAGGGGGCTTTTAACCATCAGCACTTCCCACACCTCCCTTATTCCTTGGCTGGTGCAGGGAGCACTTTCCCTCTTTTTTCCCCCCAATCTACTTTAGGCCCTGCAGTAAATGTCTGGCTGCTGGTCCTGGAGAGTTCAACCCCAGGACAGACAGACAGCATGCCCTACCAGACTGTAATAGTTGCAATAAACATTGAAAGAAAGACATTGTCTGATACCTGGGTCATCAACCACTTAAAAAGATTGAACTACACCTGGAAATAAATAGGTATTAGCCAGGCAGGGTGCAGAATACCAATAAATAGCCACATGGAAATGTGGGATTGTTGTAAATGCTAGGGATGGAGATTAATGTTATAGGCTAAAGGGGTTTAACTAGGAGTAGTTGAATGAAATTAAGAAAGGGAAAATAGGGTGACTATCAGGAAAATCTTGGAGTTTTTTAGGCTTCGTCCTAAGGGAAGGGGTGGAATCTTCATCACTCACTTTGATAAGTATAGGAGACCAAAATACTAGTAGGGAAAAATCTACTGGCAAAGGGATAAACTAGATGACACATTTGTCCTTAATATAGATTGACTCTTGGAGACAATGCTCATCAGTTTATAAAGATTTAAACCTTCACTGCTTTTCAGTTCTCTATTAAATAATTAACTTATATCTGGAAGGTCACCTGTATTGTTTTAAAACTGCCATATCAAACCATTCCTTCAGTGACTTTCAGTCTTAGGTGCTATTAAGAAATAGTAACAGAAGCCTATTTTTGTTCTTGTCATATTTTTTTTCCTATTCCACAAATACCAATTTCCTTTAGGAATGTTAAAGTAAACTGGGTAGTGTGGCAATACAACAGCGTACGCTGGTTAAGGTGTGTGCCTAGTCATCAGAGAGAATTCTCCTTTAACATCTGTGGTGTGTCTTCTGAAGTTGGCTCCAAGCTTGACTCTGGGCTCAGCAGACTGGGCACTCTTCCATCCATTTCAGGAAGTATTTGATTATTACATGTGACTCCACTGTCCACTTTCTGATTCAGCTGGATTACGGTTACCTTAGACTGACATATGGATTCTCCATCAGCAGCCGAAGGAGGGTAGCAGTGGAAAAGTAGAAGAAAGCATTTGTAAAACTGAAAAACAAAATCAAATCAGGGATTCTTTTTTAAACATAGCTGCTAGACAAATTTAAAATTCAGTGCATCTCTAGTTACAGGTTGGAGTCATGGATTCACTCTGAATGATTAGGCTCATAATTTTTGTCAATTTTTAATTCATCATTTCTCACTCCACATTTCTCACTCTCATTCTTTGTTGCTTGTAGGTGAAACAGTAAATTTCACATATGTTTGGGCCTCTTTCCTTTTGGATTAGTATTGTTACTCTTTAGGGTCATAAATTCCATCTAATGTAAAAGGAAAACTTCAGTATAATCAAAAAATGTTCTAATCACTGCATCAAATGATAAAAGAAGAGTTAATTACAAATACATTGTTTTAAAGTGACTTAGAAAAGAAAAGCCACCACCTGGAGAATCTGATGATGCAGGGCAGGATGAAAAGAATCAGCCTTTGCATTAATAAGCATTGGAAATCTGAGTTTTAACGCTTCAAACTACATTTTAAACAATTGTTTTGCTTAATTTTAGTAGTCAATTAACTTTTTTAATGTTGATTGATTTTAAATCATGGGATTTAGCTCTCAACCCCTTTGTGGTGCTCTAATTCCAAAACTTTCTAATGGGAAAGCCAATTATCTAACTTCTAATTTGCAACATCAAAAGTTAGACAGTATTATTTCTAATGTAGCCCTGCTATGAGAGACAACATTCCCATTCAGTGAACTGGGATAGTTCCATGCATGGACATGGGATAGAGACAACAATGCCTAGCACAGTGGAGGTGACCGTTTCCTAGCTTTAAACAGGAAGTGAAACTCTGTGCTGATACTGGTGGATGTCTTGGACACATTTGATGATACGGTGCTGGTGATATATACGAGACTGAGCCAGAGTAAATGGGTCTGCATTATGCTGGATCCACTCACTCCTCAGACAAATCCCAGAGGGTCACAGTGGGCACCTGCTCTTCCTCATCTACAGTGTCCCTATCCACATAGAAGCCCATCCTCCTAAGCATTTATATCGAATTCTTTGGAGAGATCTGCGAGGCCACAGACTCTAGTGCTACCAATACACGGATGACACTCTGCTATATCGCTTTGTCCACCTATCCAATTTCTGTGTCTCCAAAATGTCTCAATGCCTTGAAAGAAGCCAGCGGATGGATGAAGCGCAACTGGCTCAAACCCACTCTAAGAAAGACACCACTTATGAAACTGGAAGTAAGAAATGCTTTGAGGAACATGTTAGTACTCTAACCTCACCACTGAATAATAGCATCAAGACCAGAAGTTGTCAAAATGGTGGGAAGAATCTGGGTGAATGCTGGATAATGTAGCTTTTCCCATACCAATGACTTCCTAAAAGTAAATTGAAGTCAATGGGACTACTCACATCTTTAAAGTTAAGCATGTGCGTAAATGTTTACAGGATCAGGGCACAGATAAACATCTGAAACCAGGAAGAAGGGAAGGGAGAAGACTAAAGCCTGGTCTACACTACGACTTTAATTCGGATTTAGCTGCGTTAATCCGAATTAACCCTTCACCCGTCCACACTACAGAGCCAGTTAATTCGAATTAAAGGGCACTTAAAATCGATTTCTGTACTCCACCTCGACGAGCGGAGTAGAGCCTAAATCGATTTTGTTAATTCGAATTAGGGTTAGTGTGGCCGCACACCACCGAATTACTGTGTTTAAATTAATGGGGTAGTGTGGCCGCACACCACCGAATTAATGTGGTTAAAAACCGAATTAAGGTGCTTAGTGTGGCCGCGCACAATCGAATTTATACAACCTGTTTCCCAAATTCGAATTATCTAAATTCGGATTAATCCTGTAGTGTAGACATACCCTAAGTTTCTATGCCTTTACATAATTTTGTTCAGAGTTTAGATATGAAGATGATGGGTATCCAAGAAATATCTTGGGTGGTGGTGGTTATATATAATTTACACACCATCTAGTGTGCTAGGTGTGTCAGACAGATATAAAGATAAGATCTGTATTGCTAAAGAACTATAGAAATAGACAACATACAAATATGGGAATGCATTAAAGGGGTAATGATGAAAAATGATGTGATCTGAATAGTAAGGTTTAGTATATGCCTGGGTTAGTTCCATGATTTTGTCATGGAATTTTTGGAGGGGCAATCTTTTCGGTGAATTGAGCAGGATGGAGATGGTAATCCAGGGTTTTAAAGGGCTTTTATGGGTTTCATAAGCCTGCTGTCCTATTATATCAACACTGGAAGAGATCATGGTCTTTATATAACAGTGTAAAGGGGCAACAGTTCTATTACATTTGAATATTTTTAAACTAGGTACAATAAAGCATTTTGAAGTGCAGCGGTGAAAGACAGCAGATCACAGGATTGCAGAAAAATTCTAAGGAGGTGAAATAGTTTTATTTTTGTCTTTAAATTTCATTTCAGGGATCCTCATCATGATGTCCATGTGTAACGAAGTGCACGTGTATGAATACATCCCTTCAGTCCGACAAACCGATCTTTGTCACTACCATGAACTATACTATGATGCAGCTTGTACCTTAGGGGCTTACCATCCACTACTGTATGAGAAACTGCTGGTGCAGAGGATGAACAAAGGTTTGCAGGATGATCTGTATCGGAAGGGGAAAGTAATCTTGCCAGGGTTCAGGTCTGTAAAGTGCCCGGGACAGAATCACTTCCCACACTTATAAAAGTGAATCGTTCAGAAACAATGTGCAATAAGGTACTACTGTCGTACTATAAACAACAAAGGAATACTTGAAAATGTATCTTAGACCAACCTAGTCTTGAGTCTATAAACTGTAATTAAGTAGCAGGCATGAGAGTTCCTTCCTTCCTAAGCCTGAGTATGTATAACTGCTTTGCAAATAGTTAAAGAAAAAAAGCTTCGCTCACGAAAGGTGCAAAGGCACTGTTAGGTAGAAATACAATGTATTGTTGTGGGCATGACCTGTCAGAAAACATCAGAGGTTTCTTATGCCACATGTACTAGATGCCAAACTTAAAAAAAACAAAATTTAACAGTTAAATCTGACACTATGAAGCAGCCTGTATCATTCATACACAGAGCTGTCTGCTGAGAGATGGATGATTTTTCATCATACCACAGGATTTTCACATTCCCCCACCCCCAAAATAAAATAATCATGGTTTTGAACTGGGCATGCTATGAGTATAATGGGCCTGATTCTCATTTATACATTTATACTCCATTCTGGAAAGGTAAACGGGCTTTAAAGTGAATATAAACTACCAAAGTGAAGGGACCTTCACAAATGAGAATCAGGCCCAATAGCTAGTCATTGTATTCAGGTAGTTTCTGCAGCCAGAAATTAACAAGTGATATTTACTCACTTTTAAATGGATATTACTGTACACGCAGCCAGGTTATTTAAATAAAGATATTACGACTGCACATATCTGTCATGGTGCATGCAAATGCTGCATTCAGGCAAAGGGTGAAGAGAAGAGAATCTTCTCCTTTCTTCAGAAAGCACTCATTCTGCCCTCATTCAGCTTGAGCAGAAGACCAGCAAGAGGGCATAAATGAGACTGAAATGGTGCATGGGCTTTCTGCCTGGGGGCAGTTTCCCCCTCTGTGCACATATGTAGATACACTCCAGGGGAATGGAAACAATGTGCTCTGCTTGCACACATACATTTGAAAGCAAGTTGTAAAAAACAGATTTCTTACAAGGACATTATTCAAAAATATAGGCCTGCCTTTTCCAAGGAAATAAGCATTTTGGATGGGGAGAGTTCAGAAATTAGTTGTTTGCCTATTTTGTTGTAAGCCAAGTTAAATTCATTTATTATTGCTTTAAAAAAAGCATGGCATTTTGTTTTTTGTTTTTGTGAGGAAAAACAAGATGTCAGTATTTTTTAATTCAAAATTATGAAGTCTATATCCTGGAGACATTGTAAAGCCTTCAACAATCTTACTATGGCTTACACACTGAGACAATCTCATAATTTCATTGTAAAAACACAGCATGGATATTCTCTAAATCACTTCTAAAATCCACCTGGATGTTAATGCATTTAAAAAATGTTTTCTCTGACAAGAGTTCAGTTTTCAGGCTGGAGGTAGGTTAATGTTCTTGTTTGCTTTTTAAAATTTGGTTTTTCAGTGAGCAAAATTCAGCAGGAGTGATTACGTACAAGAAATCATACATGTCCTATCCATATCCATTCAGCAAAAAGGTGATTGGCTGGTAGAAACACTGTTATTAAAAACAGTGGAGGAGAAAAGCATATTTCACATATTTAGCAATTGGCTACTTCGAGATAGCTGGCGATGGAGAAAACCATGTTCATGTATTTTCTGTCATCTTTGTTTATAAAAATCAGTGATTTTCAATCTTTCTTTCTTTTTTGGATCCCCTAAAAATTTCACCTTGAGGTGTGATCCCTTTGGAAATCTTAGACATAGTCTGTGGACCCCCAGGGCTCCGTCCACCACAGGTTGAAAAACACTGATATAAATATAAATCAGAAGAATTTTGTAATTCTCCCATCCAACCTTTCCTGCTGTTTTCCCCCCCTATAAGAGCAGAATTAGTTTACTGCACACATTTAGCCTTCTTTTTTCAAGTTGTCATTCTCTTGGGCTTTGCAGTCCTTCTAAAATTCTTCCTACCTGACAGAAAGTATGTTCATGTGATCCAGATATGCCTTGTGTTGATTGGATAGGTATGTTCATAAAGCATTTTTTCATACTGCCAAATGTACAGCTTTCATTAATTTCAGCCTTAGTATCTGGATGCATTACATACTGATTTTGGAAAACACATTATAATAATATTTTATGTTCATTTTTGTTCTTAACAGTATCCTGTCTTAGTAGTGCTATATAACCTACAAAGGAAAAAAATACTTTTCCCATATACACCTGTACCTCGATATAATGCTGTCCTTGGGAGCCAAAAAATCTTACTGTGTTATAGGTGAAACCGCGTTATATCAAACTTGGTTTGATCCGCTGGAGTGCGCAACCCCCCCCCCCTCAGGAGTGCTGCTTTACCACGTTATATCCGAATTTATGTTATATCGGGTCGCGTTATATCAGGGTAGAGGGTATAATAAAATAATACCCTTCCTTCTTTTTTAATTCAACTGTTCACCAGTTCGTAGTGAAACACATTAAATAGGATTTTTTTCTGCATGGGCAGAGTGGCACGTTGTCATACAGTGATCTTAGCATCAGATCAGGGTTTCCCATGTGCCAAGTTCAAACTGGATTAGCTCCTACACCTTTCAATAAATGGAGTTGATCATATTTCCAGTACAAATGAGTAAGTCACTGTGCCATATGCAGAAGTCTCTCAGACTCCACAAAATAGCATGCCGGTTTCCCACTCATTTGCCCATGCTAAACTTAAACTCTTGTTTCCATCAGGAATAAAAAAAAGTTAACCAGCAACACTCACAATTGTCCACAACAATAGGATTGCGTTGTATTACATTCTAGATAGTCTGTCATCACTAGGGTGACCAGATGTCCCAATTTTATAGGGACAGTCCCGATTTTTGGGTCTTTTTCTTATATAGGCTCCTATTACCCCCCCACCCCCGTCCCGATTTTTCACACTTGCTGTCTGATCACCCTAGTAATCACGGTGCAGCTTGTACGCAGCCCTATGGACTCTAAAGATTCCCATAAAGAAAAATGTGAGGCAGCATTCTTAGCACTCCTGTTTAAATGAAGTGCTGTCTTTTAAAATTCTCACACGAAATTGGGTACACATTCATAAAATGTATTTTATACTTTTATCTTACCTGCATATCCTTTTTTGTGTAGTAATAGTGTGCACTCGAGGCACCTGAGCAGAAAATCTTTCTTGGCCAAGTGCAAATGCCAAGAAACATTCACCTTTCCCTAGATTATATAATTATTTAAATTAGTATGGATCTTTCATACACCATGTCATCTGTCCTAATTCTAACCCTGTGTATATTATAATTCACCAACCACATGGGTGTTATATCTTCACCCCCTAGCTTAGCTTTGCTTTAGAGCTGTGCTAAGTGCACCAGCCTCTTTCTGAAAAGGAGGCTAGCGTCAACTCTGTGAAGCACAGGGTCTCAATCATCCCAAGGAGGGAGGGCCTTAACATGGCTTCCAAATCCTTGTTTCCCCTGTGATATTTCACTGTTCTACAAACACAGGCATCTTGACAATTTAAGATTTTCTCCTCCCACTCCTTCTATCTTATTTAAAAAAAAAATTCAGTACAAGTTCAAGTACTGAGTCTGATTTGCTAACTGAGAATTCAACTGCAATTTTACTTCTGATCGACAGGAGGCCAGCAGGGGGAAGCAAAGGGCAACATGAAGAGAACTATAGAACTGCTGCTTTCACCAGCCTTCCCTCCCTTCATGGTGCCTCCCTCCTGAGCTTTGGTATTCTTTGCTTTTATGGGAGGCCACTGAGGTTTTTTTGTGCGTTGGTTTTTTTTTAAACTTTGAGAGCAGAAATCGTGTATCAAAAATCCATACAAATCAATTGCATTTAAAAGAGTGAATGAATGTGTATTAGATGTTCAATAGACATCTAGATAGCTTTTTAATAATGGTAACTGGTGACTGATGTTTTATATATACATAAGTGACGTGTAATACATTTCCCCATCCAAATCGTTCATCAATATTTTAGGATGCGATCTTGTCACCCTTGTATGTATGTAACTCCCACTTGAAGTGAATGGGAGATTTGCCTGGGCAAGGCCTGCACGCTCCTGACACATAATACACATGACGAAAATACTCAAGTTAGACTCATCCCCCTGGTATGCCTCTAGAGTTACAAAAGCCTAGTTGATGTGCACTGATGGTGTATGATTAAGATTGCACTTAAAAAAAAAAAAAACACCCACAAAGCTTGGGTAAATCTGCTGAATTTATGTTAATTTTTGGTTTGCTGTATTTTCCACTGTGAATTATGCAGCTTTTTCAACTTGTGGTGGCTATATTGCTTTATGCATGACTCCTTTAGATGGTTAAATCAAGGGTATTCTTCTGTTAATTCCAGAGAAATTATGAAAGTTTTGACTCATTTTGAGTCACACATTTTTAAGGGGGAAAATACTTCTGATATTCCATTCCTTCTATGGTTCCAAGGCTTACCTAGCCCTCATTCTCCACACTGTTACACCATTTAATGCCAGTGTAACTGTTAGTCAGTGAAGTTACACCAATGTAACAGATTTGTATGTGGTAAAGAGAGAGAGATCAATGTATAATTATATTGATCTACACACACGGGGCTGGTCTACACGCTGAGCACAAATATTTAGCTAAATCAATGCAACCTACTGGTGTTTCAGATTAAGAATTCCTTCTTGATTCTGTTTGCATCAATTTCTTGCCAAATTAAGCAAAATTGAAATAGTTCATTTTTAACTGGAAGTGAGTGCCACATTAAGAGGTTGCACAGTTGTAACTCAATCTGTTTAGAAATAGTTTGAATTAAATGGGTGCTCAAATTGTGTCTAGACAAAGCCGTACGTGGTGGCTTTTGTGTTGGTCTTCCTCTTCAGTAATGCTCTCATAAACCGGGAAATGCTATTCAGACAGTGATACAAACTTATGATGAAAGTAATGTTAAATATGTTGTCTGTGAAAGTGTCACTTTGAGTTCTTTCCCTTCATCTACAATCCATAGATATGCTAGATTGTTTTTTGAAGCAGACTGTGAAATGTCATTCGAGAGCATATACAGATTTCCTGAATGCCATCCTCTCCAGTGCAAAGAGGATACCTGATTTAACTGTTTGAACTTTAAAGTAGCCCATGTCTGGGCATGCCTCTCACAGACTTATTTAATTAAATGTATTTTGACACTCTGAATTTCTTCTCTTCAACTTGGCAATCAAATCCAGAGTTTTGTTCGTGAAATATCAGCTATGTAAAAGTCTTACATGTATCCATATCATCTCATCCTCTGTGAAATGTAGTCATTGAACTATTCAAATATGGAAGACTGTGTACTTTTTTAATAGCTTTGAGAATTATTTTGTATGATGATTTTTTTAAATGAATGTGTACTCTTCAACAAATTAAATCTTGAGATTTTACAGGAGTCACATTTTTAAACAGTGTTTGTATACATTTTAACACTTTTCTATTTTCTATTTTGATTTTGTATATTTTTATGTATGCACAGTGTACAGATTTTTGCTGTAAATAAAACATTTGTTTTCATTTATTTAGCAGTGCTGGTCCTTAACTTGAATGGATGAAATTGCATGTGACATGAAATGAGGATGTTACTGGTCAGTTCTACATAGTGAGGAGACCAAGATCTTGAATTGAAAGAGAGGTAGAGGCTGACAAGTAGCTTGTTTAATTAAAAATGGAAAACATACAATATAAGTGGATTGGGATATAGAGCAGTAAAAGGGATTATGGACTAAATGGTTGCTATAAACCACTGATCAATAAAAGGATGTGGGATGACTGGACAGACTTCGTTCAGTGACAAGAATAGGGAGAATACACAGACGCTGAGGGCTTATGTACACAGGGAAGTTGGCTGACATATCTATAGTGGAATAATTATTTCAGAATCAAGTCACTGTTATCATAGACTAGAGCATCCGCAGGAGCCATTATGCTAGCATAGCTATAGAAGAATAGTTTATTTCACTATAGCTATGCTGGTCAATTTCTCTGCTTAGACAAGTCCTAAGAAAAGGCTGCACTCTAGTGACTAGATGTTCTATTCAGAATGTTGGCAAATTTCTGTTGAAGTGAATGTTTTGCCTTCTCAAGAAATCATGTCCTAAAGTTAGTAAAGCAAAAATTTCTTTACACAGACCATAATTTAAAGTGAAGAATGAACTACAAAAGGGAAAACATAACTGCACAGACACTTAGGGGATAAAATACAACATTGTGCACCCACGAGAGGCCTGAGCCAAAGCCCATTGAAGTCTATGGGAGTCTTTCAGCTCATTGTAGAGAGCTTTGGATCAGGCCCCTAATTTAGAGAGGTGGACTAATCTAGAGAGCCTGCATTTTTTCATCTCAGAAAGTTCCTATTTAGTAGGCATGGTCAAGTTGCAAGGAAGTCAAT